AGTAGGGCAGAGGCTGTGAATCTAGGAGGGTCTGGGAAGTGACGAACGGTGTGACATAGCAGATGGTTCACCACGACTGAGGATGAGAGGGGAATCTTACCCAGGGTATTGATGGTGTACGCGGGCATCTGGGCAGGGGGCTCCGGGCTCCCAATGGTGACATGGATTCCCTCTAGGGGCAGTGAACTGGTGGGTAGTCCTCCCTGGAGTCCTGCAGACTCCAATCTGTGTCCCTCCTGGGCTGTTTCTAGCTGGGCAATGGTAGGCAAGTGTGTTCCCCCTGCTGGAGCCTACTTGGGATCAGGGCATGGCAGTTAGCTAGGGCTCTCTGAATACCATTTTCTGTAACCTGCTGTAGGCTGTCTGGAAGGAAAAGGGGACCACTGACTTTGGAACCCTTTAAGTTTGATTGGGACAAGTTGAAATGCCAGCTTTTCCAGGGTTTTTTCTTTCTTTTTTTTTTTTTTTTGTTTTTTTATGTGGTGCTGAGGAATCGAACCCAGGGCCTCAGGCAAGCAAGGCAAGCGCTCTACCACTCAGCCACCTTCCCAGCCCCTTCCAGGGTTTTTTCTTGAAGCTGGCAATTTCCACTAATGCTTGGGATACTGGGTCAAATGAGATGGACCATTTCAGCCACCAAACAATGACATTCAAGCAGCACAAGCAGAGTTCCTGAGCCAAAGGGTCTCCTGCTATGAACGACGTGCCTTGACTGCCTTTCTGCAGCAGCTGCCGATTCTCCTCTGGCTCTCTCTAGGGTGAGCACTACAGTCGAGGATGTTGTGGGGAGCAGAGATTGTGACCTTGCCATCTTCAGCCTGATCACTGTGAGCAGAGACAATTCCCAGGACCTGTACTGGACTCTGGGAGATTCAGAGACCCAGGATGCCTCAGGGATCCTTTTCTGCAACATGAAAATTGGGGGCTGGATATGGTGGACCATCCTGTCTGGCCCTAGGGAGTGCAGAGGAGGCCCCTTGAGCCAGGCTTTTGCCTCACGACAACCTTGTTCACAGCTGAGTGGGGAATTGAGTGCCATACAGCTGGTCAGTGGCTGGACAGAGATCTTTGAGAAGATAGGCATCCCAGAGGCCCCAGAATACAGTGAGTACATCATGGCTCACATCCTTGGAACCAAAAGAGTTAAGTGCGGTAGCACCAGGAGGGTGGGAAGACAAAGGAGGGAGAACTGTGGGAGAGCTACATCAGGCTTTACCCCCACCCAGGATGCTTACCTGAGTTGGATGGGACTTTTCTGTAGTATTGTCATAGACAGATGCTCATCTATTTATCTAACAAAATATTACAGTGTCTGCCAGTTCCTGGGGGGGAGAGAGTGGGGGTAATAGACGATGAAAAGTTCCAGTGCTGGTTCCACAGCACATGAAGAAATCTTGGTTTGAGCTGGATGCTGGTGCCTCACAACTGTCATCCTAACTACTTAGGAGGCTGAGATAGGAGGATTGAGGCTTAAGGGCCAGGCCGAAAAGCCTGTAAGACTCTTATCTCCAACTGACTACCAAAAAGAAAATGCCAGAAGTGGATGAGTAGCTCAAGCTGTAGACTGTTGGCCTTGAGTAAAAAGGCTCAGGGACAGCACCTAGGCTCTGAATTCATGCCCAGGAGTGACACAAAGAAAGGAAAGAGAAAGAGAGGTGGGAAGGATGGAGAGAGAGTAAAGGAGGAAAGGAAGGAAGAAGGGAGCATGCAAGCCTTGGTTTGGAGTCTTTGGATCAAGGGAGCAACCATTCACAATCTCTGTGGGGACAGTTTCAGAGCCTAAAGCTAGTGTATAGGACCAAGCCACTGACCCATTCATGACATCAGCAACTTCATGACATCCAAATCTGAGTGGTCGCTGACTGCAGAGGGAAACAGCCTCCGGTAGACCCTAGGGCTCACAGAGTTTCAATCTCCCCTGGCTCACGGAGTTTATTTTCTGGTCAGATAAGAAGAAACTGTCCAAGGGCTAGGGAGGTATAGGGTGAGGGAGTGGCAAGACCGGGGTGGCAAGGGATAAGCAGGAAGATGAAGAGGGAGGACAATCCCAGATCCAGTGTGTCAGGTCATTGGACCCATGACTTCAACTGACAACATAGACCATCAGTGATAGAATCTTCAACCCAGCCACATGGCTATTAAAAGTCCTGGCACTCTGGGTTCACGGTTGACAAACTGTCTGTCATCCACTGCAGGATGCCTGTGCAGTACATCCTTGGGGACTGGGACTTTTGCTGGCTCAATCTGAAGATGACACCCCCAGTGTTCATTCCTCAACCAGAGACAGAGGTAAGTGTGCCACTGGAACAGGACACCCAGGGAATGAGGGCAAGAGTCAGACCCGTGTTGCTCTGAGACTTCCTCTAGGGGACTTTGGGCCCTGTGACTGCTTTTCTGAGAGGTAGAGGTAGGTCTCCTTGCTGGCTCAGCCTTTAGTCTAGATGGCAGATGTGGGATTTAAAGAGGGCGGACTGAAGGTCGAGGCTGGTGAGAAAACCAGAGGCACTGCGCTCTGAGCAGGGTTGTTTCTTTGAGGATACTCAAACCCAGGAATATTACTGAGATGGATCAGCCCTTTTCTCCTCCCTGAGAGAGAGGGACCTAGAGCCCTCCAGTCTGCATCCCTTGGCTGAGAAATTCATTCATTCCCATATCCTTTGTTTGGATAACTAGATCTCACCTGACTGCCCACTGTCAAGGCAGGACAGTGAGAGATCTTGAGTCCTTGATTAGGTCACGGGATCCACAGTATGAGATTGTGCTTGAATGTCCTGAGTTGGTGCATGGTCAGTCCCATCTAAGACTGCCATGACCTAGGACATAGAATCTAGCGAATCCGATCATGATGAGGTCTATTCTGTGAGTCTTGAGTATTATGTGTGAGCTTTGAGCTCCCGTGTGCTCACCTGCTTCCCTTTTTTGAGTGGGTCTATGCTAGAAAAAGCTTAAAACTGGGGCTTGTTTCATGCTCAAAGCTAGCACTCTACCATTTGAGCCACAGCTCCACTTGCAAGGTTTTTGGGTGTTTAATTGAAGATAAAGCCAGGCGCTGGTAGCTCACACCTGTAATCCTAGCTACTCAGGAGGCTGAGATCTGAGGATCGCGGTTCAAAGCCAGCCTGGGCAGGAGAGACCGTGAGACTCCTATCTCCAATAAACCACCAGAAAACCGGAAGTGGCGCTGTAGCTCAAGTGGTAGAGCGCTTGCCTTGAGCCGAAGAGCTGAGGGACAGTGTCCAGGCCCAGAGTTCAAGCCCCACGACCGACAAAAAAAAAAAAAAAAGAGTTCTGAATGACTATGCTGCCAAGGGTTGCATCCAACTGCAGTCCTCAGATCTCAGTCTCCTGAGGGGATAGGATGACAGGCATAGAAAAGCATCTTTGGCCAGGTTCCAGTGGCTCATGGCTATCATTCTAAGTACTCAGGAACTGAATCTTAGGATCAGGGTAAAAGCCAGTTTGGGGAGGAAAGACCCTCAGACTCTTTTCTCCAATACAGCACCAGAAAACCGGAAGTGGTGCTGTGGCTCAAGTAGTACAGTGCTGAACTTGAGCTGAAGAGCTCAAGCACACAGACCCAGAGTTCAAGCCCCACAACCAACAAAAAGAAAGAAAGTAAAACATCTTTGCCTGCAAAGGATGGTGGAGGTGTGTTTGTGTATGTGTCTGTGTGTGTGTGGGGGGTGTGGTGGTAGACATTTAGCGCCCTGCTCAGTCATCATTTTAGATGGATAGACCCTAACTCTTAGTTCACGGCAGCCGATTCTTGACCACAGGTGAAGTTCTGGGTTGGATGTCAACCATCGGACCGCAGTCTCCTCATGGGACAGTTGTGAGTAAATAAGAGACTAATACAGAGGGATCTCTGGAGCAGGGCCAGGCACAGAGGGAGCAGGTGTCAGATACAGTTCTCAATAATTCTGTGAGCATATGACAGGAAGATGCTAGGAAAGGGCTCAGATGGGGTCTGTTATTAATCCTGCAACAGGTGTGGGATTATGAAACAAAACATGGCTGTCTTTCATCATTACCCTGTCCCCATGAGGAAGGGATCCTTCATTCTATTCATTTTTCCAGCTGGGGAAAATGAGTCATAGAGAAGCCAGGTGACCTGCTCATGACCTCCAGCTGACAGGAATCTTGGCCTGATATCTCTGCCATGCTTCCTAGGACAGTGGGTGTTATTCAGTCCATTTCTTGTAGTGGGAAGTCCACTTCTTCTCATTTGTGGGGATTGAATTCTGGGCCTGGCTGCTATCCCTGAGCTCCTCAGAACAAGGCTAATACTCTACCCCCTGATCCACAGTATCACTTCCGGTTTTCTGTTGCTTCTTCGAGGATAAGAGTCTCACAGACATTCCTCCCGAGCCAGCTATGAACCAAGATCTTCACATCTCAGTCTCCTGTGTAGGTAGGATTATAGGTTTGAGCCACTGGCACCTGGCTTAAGTGTAATTCTGAACCTCTGTCGCTCTCTCTCTCTGTCTCTGTCTCTGTCTCTCTCTCTCCCTCTCTCTCAGGAATTGGTTGAATGAGTGCTGGAGGAGGTGGCCCAGCATTCCCATGTGGCTGGAACCCAAGGTGGCCCTCTCATTCTGGAGGTAGGCTGTGGGTCAGGAGCTGTTTTGCTCAACCTGTTGAAGCAGCTTCATGAGGTAAGCCCCTCTGTTCCCTGGATAGACCGTGACGGTTATTCATTGTCCATCCCATGAGTCCTTCCCCACATCCCTCTGCTACACCGTTGAAGGAAAGTGGATGAGAAGGTGTCACCTTGTCCCCCTGCCCAGCACAATCCCGGGCCTCTGACCTATACTCCCATCTATCTGACAAGACCCTGGCTATAAGACAATAAATACACTCTGTGTGTACTACCCTTTGCTGGGGAGTGTCGTTTTGGTTAAGGGGTCGGGGTTCAGAGGAAAGACCCCAGACCTGACACCTCCTGGGGGGACATTTGTTCTTGTGACAGAGCCAAGTCATTGCTGTGGATAAGGAAGAAGCCTCCATCGGACTGACCCAGAACAATGCTCAAAGATAGGTAGGCTGTTGAAGTATCAAACCCAGTCATGTCTGCTTCCTACTCCCAACAAGGAGGTCTAGTGTGGGTGGCCTGGCCCTAGGCCTAAGGGATTATAAATGGATGGTGGCGGTCAGGAGCTCATGGCTCTCATCCATCATCCTGGCTCTTTGGAAGGCTGAGGTCTGATGGTTGTGACTCAGAGCAGCCCGGGAAGGAAAGTCCAGGAGATTCTTATCTCCCATAAACCAACTCCCTCCCCAAACCCACACACAAAATACCCAGATGTGGTGCTGTGGCTCAAGTGGTAGAGCCTCAGCCTTGAACAAAAGAAGCTCAGGGATAACACCCAGGCCCTGAATCCAAGCCCTAGGACTAACACAATCATAAAATAAATGAATAGTGTACATCTTTCTATCTGACTACCAAGAAAGATGTATTCAGTTTTCTCACTGGTACATGTAGCCAAAGATAAGGGGCTCCCTTTCATGTTCCCCTAACTCTCTCCTTCTCTCCTTTATCTGTCCAGGCTTTATCTGTTGCAGGACAGAATTGGGATCATCCCCCTGGATGTAACCTTAGGTACTCTCCCTCATCCACCTCCCTTGGGGTCAGGATTCTGGATGCACTCCCTGCTGGGAGGATGAGGCATCACAGAAGAGGGTAGGTATCACCAACACTCACACACATACATACACACAAACACCCCTAAGCCAACTCAGACTGGCCTTTTCCAAAGACCCTTTATCTCCTTGGATTAACTGACCTAGGAGAAGAATTTGATCCCCTGTAACTGATTATTTTAACTTGGGCTTGCTAGTTCACAGGAGATAAACGGAAGCAAACAAAAACCAAAAAGCCTTTGGTGCCCATCACCTCTGGCTCAGGGTCAAGCCTGACATACTGGTGACTTGGGAGGCAAAGATCTGAGGATCAAAGATCCTCAGCCATGAGCTGGAAAGCCAGAGAGACTCCTCTCTCCATGGAACCACCAAAAAGCCAGAAGTAGAGCTGTGGCTCAAGTGGTAGAGCACCAGCCTTGAGCAATAAAACTTAGAGAGACAGCTCCCAGATCCTCAGTTCAAGCCCACAAAAAGAAATGGCCCTGTCATGTTGCCCACAGATTGCTCCAGGCCCCTCTCACGGAGTGTGATACAACACCTGCCCCTGGGTGGTGTATCAGGGCCTTGAGAAATCTGGTGGTGGAATCCAGGCCTTCCCCTTCGTGCATTCTCAACCCACACTGGCTGGAGGGCAGAGCCTGACAAGACTGGCAGCCTGCACAGCGGAGAGGCTCCAGCTTTTCCAAGGTGATTGGAAAGGGCTTCTTGGAAACAGCACTTGAAAAGGGGGTCTTGCTTAACAAGGAGAATCTGAAGGAAGCACAGAGAACAAAGGTGCTACAGATGATGGACAACATAGCAGAGCGTGTTCATTTTCAGCCAGGGCTGCTGGTGAGAGACTTGGTATAGATGTGCGAGACTGTCCCAAGACAGGCCTGAGGGGTCACAGAAGAACAGCTATCTAGGGCTGGGATTGCGTCCTAGAGGTAGAGGGCTCACCTAGCACACAGGAAAGCATGGGTTCGATTCCTCGGTCCTGCATACACAGAAAAAGCTGGAAGTGGCACCGTGGCTCAGGTGAAAGAGCACTCCCCTGCAGACACAGAAAGTCAGGGACAGTGCCGGGCCATGAGTTCAGGCCCCAGGGCTGTCACCATAAAACAGTTTTCCCAGTGACCTTTGTGACAGGTGGATGGCTATGCCCTGAAGCTCTTAGTAGATCCATCCGTGCTTTGTGTCTACTTTGACAGAGGGGAGCTGGACACTCCTTCTGCCCTGGGCACTCCTAGGCCCAGTTATCAGCAATCCTCCCAATGTCTTCCACCGGGACATGGAGCAGCTGGCCCCAGAAGTGCTCAGGTATCAGTTGGGTGGGGCATGGGGACATAGGGCAAGCCCCAGAACTCCTAGTGGGTCTGATCCACCCTGGAAGACCAGGCAATCTGGAGGAGGCAGATGGGAGCTTAGAGGGGGTTAGTGATGGGGAGCGGGCCCTTTAATCCCCATGGTCCCACCCAGATTCTAGCCTCCCTTTGCTTTCCCTGAAGGAGGTAGAGGGGCGTCTAGGTGGTAGTGTCTAGAGAAGGACTAGGTGGAAATTCTGAAGGACTAGACACCTTAAGCCATGAGCCGGTGGCTCACATCTGTCATCCCACACCTGTCATCCTGGCCACTTGGGAGGCTGAGATCCAGAGGATCTCATTTTCCATCCAAACAGGAAACTACCTCCAGAGCCTCATCTCCAATCTCTAACTGGAAGTGGCACTGTGGCTCAAATGGTAGAGCACTGGCCTTGAGGAAAATTAGACATCAGGGACAGTATCCAAGCCTTGAGTTCAAGTGCCTCAACCAAAACGAAAAACAAAAAACCAAACGAGAAAGAAACATACCCCTTCCTTGCTTGCAAGAGATGGTGAAGTAGTAGGGTTGCAAATAAAAACAACATTAAGATACTACCTCACCCCAGTTAGAATGGCAAAAATCAAGAACTCTAATAACAACAGATGCTGGAGGGGATGTGGACAGAAGGGAAACTTACTGCATTGTTGGTGGGAGTGTAAACTTGTTCAACCACTTTGGAAAGTAGTATGGAGGCTCTTCAAAAGACACCACATAGAGCGCCCTTATAACCCAGCAATCCCACTTTTGGGCATTTACCCAAATGTTTACAAACAAGACCACACTAAAGCTACCAGCACGACTATGTTTATTGCAGCACTATTTACTATAGCTAAGATATGGAACCAACCCAGATGCCCCTCAGTAGATGAGTGGATCAAGAAAATGTGGTATATATACACAATGGAATTCTATGCCTCCATCAGAAAGAATGACATTGCCCCATTTGTTAGGAAATGGAAAGACTTGCAAAAAATTATATTAAGTGAAGTAAGCCAAGCCCAAAGATACTTAGGTACCATGGTTTCCTTTATTTGCAATATTTAGTATATATATGAGTCAAGCAGAAAAGGTTAGATAAGGTAATGTTAGGAAAATGAACCCTAAGGTATATATTTAAATGTTTTATTCTTTCATGCATTTGTTTCCAATGCATTTATAAGATTATTGCTTTGTTGCTTTGTATGTCCCTCCCCCACAGTACAACCCCTGCTTTCACTGTATTTAATTATGGTATAATTTGTGGAGGGGAAGGGGAAAAACAAGTCGTTTAAATAAGGATACAGGCTGACCCTTGCATCAATAAGAAGTACAAGTTGTCATATCAAAAACGAACTTTACAACTTTGTGGGGGGGGGAGGTTTGGTTGGGGGGTGGAGGGAAGCTGGGAAAGGATGGGAAGGGGAAACAAAGGAGGAGGCTACAATGCTTGGTAAGAAATGTACTCCTTATCTTGCCCATGTAATTGTAACGCCTCTTTACAGTATTTTCACAATAAAAAAAGAAAGAAAAGAGCTGAAGAAAAAAAAAAAGTTGGGTGTAGCCGGGCTCTGCCAGTGGCTCACAACTGTCATCCAAGTTATTCAGGAGGCTGATATCTAAGGATCATGGTTCAAAGCCAGCGTGGGCAGGAAAGTGTGTGAGACTTTATCTCCAATGAACCACCAGAAAATTGGATGTGGTGCTGTGGCTCCAGTGGTAGAGCACACAACTTCATCTGAAGAGCTAAGGGCCTGCTGGCAAGCCCAAAGTTCAAACCCCATAACCTACAACCAAACAAAAGGTAGCTGAATTTTCTGCATAACAGTGTGTACAGTAGAAATGCCATGATGTGTTGTGAACCATTTCAGACATGTGAGAGGCTCTGAGGTTTGTCTACAGTTGGTCAGAAGATGGTAGCGCCATCATCTCTGGGGTGGAATATTCAGGGTGCTCAGGGACTGCTGAGGGTTTGGGCTACCAGTGTGTGTGTGTGTGTGTTTGTGTGTCTTTTGTTTGTGTGTGTCTGTATCTGTGTGTTTGGATGTAGAAGACCTGGGCCTTGAACTCAGGGTCTACGTGAAGTTCCTATGCTTCTGTGCTCAAAGCTAGAGCTCTAACACTTGAGCTATTTGGTGGTTCATTTGAGATAAGAGCCTCACAGACATTTCTGTACTGGCTGGCTTTGACCTCAGCCTCCTGAGTAGCTGGGATGACAGGTGTGAGACACCAGTGCCATATTTGTATGTGTGTGTGTATGTGTGTGTGTGTGTGTCCCTCATCTTTCTCTGTCCCCTTCCTGGGTGCCTGTCTGCCTCTTTCTGACCTCGGATGGTGCCCCTCCTCCACACCGACCTTGCCTTTAGCCTCCTATCAGGGTCTACAATGAGTGCTAAATTGCCAGAGACCTGAGTTCAAGCTTTTCTTTGGGGCCCAAGTCCAGCTGTCCAAATCTTTTGCTGCCTGCAGGGGATTCTGGGTCAGCCGGGCCATCTGCAATAAAGTCTTGCCTGTCTCTGGGTAGGGAACTCAGACATGGGATGTCCTGCCCTTTTCCTCAGCTAGACCTCTGGCTGCATGTCCCTCTCAGCAGGCCGGCAGTGAGTGGGGGAAGGGGGTTGCCAGTGGCTCTGGCCAACTCCAGCTTGATAGCGGACTGAAGGCTGCCCAAGCAAGGAGGATTCCGGGCTACATTGGAGGTGAGGCCAAGGTGGCTTGGAAGTGTCTGGTGGTGTCTAGGAAATGTCAACGTACTTTATCACAGGCAAGTCTATCTTCCAGCCCCAGCTGGGCCTCTCCAATCCTAGAGAATTCTGGATGCCCAGAATACAGAGGCACAGACTTTAGATTCCAGGGCCAGGGAATTGGGGGAGGAGAGACTGGTATGGCCAATACCTGAATGTTCTGGGGCATTAGCCTTGACCTGGGTATGCCCCCCTTGTATACATTCACTTCTTAACCCAGACCTGGCCAGAAACAGGCCACTTCTGTGGATGTTGTAGAAGTGGCAGGAGTGGAAGTGAGATCTAGGATGACCAACATCTGGATTTATGGCCTGAGGGCGGGGTGCATGGGTGGGGGGGTGGAGGGGAAGGTGCCTAGGCACTGAGCTTCCTTTGCTCAAATCTAACACTCTACCACTTGAACCACAGCTCACATTTCATCTTTTTTAGTAGTTTAGTGGAGATAAGAGTCTCACGAACTTTTCTTCCTGGGCTGGCTTCAAGCTGCCATCTCAAGAGCTCAGCCTCTTGAGTAGCTACGATTGCTGGTATGAGCCACTGGCACCTGCTAAGGATGTTAGTGTGTGTGTGTTTACTAGGGCTTGAACTCAGAGCCTAGGTGGTATCCTTTAGCTTGTTTGCTCAAGGTTGGTGCTGTAGCACTTGTACTCCAGTAGCTCTGCTTCCCAGTATTTTGGTGATTCATTGGAGATAAGAGTCTGCCCACCCAGGCTAGCTTTGAATCTTGATTCATCCCCATGTGTCAGCCTTGAGTAGCTAGGATTATAGGCATGAGCCACTGGCATCCAGCTGCAAGGATGTCTCTTCATACTGTCTTCTGTTCTAACAGCTGTCTACTTGCCCTGGCCTAGATCTCTGATCTCCACATCAGCTCCCAAAAGCCCTTAACTGTGTGGAGAACATAAAGCTCAAACCTGTCAAGTATCCTATTTCTATGTCCTTAGGGGAGGGTATGTTTCCTCTGAAGCCTGGAGGAGTAGGCGGAGGGGGAGGAAGGTTAGCTGTAGCTAGGTGCTAGGCTGGGAGAGAGGTACACTGTCTTAGCCAAGAAGGACAGTGTGGCCAGATGTTAATAGCTCATGCTCTCATGTTCCTAGCTCCTCAGGAGGCTGAGACCTAAGGTTTGGCATTCAGAGGCAGCCTAGCTGTCTTTTCTTTTTTTTTTTTTTCTGGTATCAGTGGGACTTTTTTTTGTGAAAATACTGTACAGAGGGGTTACAATTACACGGGCAACATAATGAGTACATTTCTTATCACCAGCTCACTTTTCTAAAGTATATGAGACTCTCCTTTGCCAATAACCACCTGAAAGTTGGAAGAAAAGCTGTGGCTCAAGTGGTAGAGTTGCTAGCCTTGAATGAAAAAAGTGAGGGACAGAGTCTGTGTCCTGAGTTCAAGCCCTAGCACCAAGATGAACCCATGCACCCACCCCCCTACCCTCCCCACACACACACAGGTAGGTGGTAATGATGAGCTGAGCTAGAACTGGAGGCAATCGAGAGGCACAATCATAGTACACTCTCGACACATAAGTTATTTCTCCCCAACTCCTTCTTGGGCTGAGGGTTCTGGGTGATGGCAGTAAGTTCCATGGAACCTGCACCTCCATCCATGCATAAGGTACAGGACCAAGGGAAGAACATGATGGATGCTCGTTTATACTCGGTGCATGATTGCAGACCTTCATCTGCCGCTGAACATTGGTGAGGAAAGCAGTGCTCTCAGCCCTGGGACTCCTGGCATAGCCACTGCTACAAGCAGCAGCCAGCCAGCTGTGGATTCCTGAGCCTACGAATCTTTCATGAACCCAACTCAACACCCACTCAAGGTGTGCCTGACAAATTTGCCCCAGTGAGTAGGCATTACATGCTGTGCCATCTTGCAGCTCTTGCCCCTCCTGGCCCAGAAACCTGGTCTGAAATATTGATTTACTGCTCAGATCCACACTGCACCCATGACAGATGCCATTCTGATGACCTGGCTGATGACCTCAGTGCCCCAAAACTAGACCCTTCTCTGATACTTTGGCCCGCTCTGTAGCAAAAGTCTCCCAAAGAGGCTGCTTTCAAGACTTGTAGGACACCTAGATATTGGGAGACCCTTAGCAGTCCACTGGAAATTACTCTGCCTAGAGCCACAGAGTGAGGTTCACGCAGGCCAGGTGGGGCTTGAACTCTGGGCTTGGGCTCTGTCCCTTCAGCTCTTCAACTGACCACTTGAGCCACAGTACCACTTCCCGTTTTCCTGTGGTTCATTGGAGATCAGAGTCTCCTGGACTTTGCTGCTCAGGTTGGCTTTGAACGACGATCCTCAGATCTAAGCCTCCTGAGGAGCTAGGAG